ATACATGTATATATATATGATATGTATATATATATTTATCTATTTATATATCATATATTTATATATATATATATATATTATAGATATAAAACATATATAATGATATATATCATATATATTTATATACGATATATATATGATATATATATATCATCTATATATATATATATATATATATATATATATATATATATATATATATATATATATATATATATATATATAGCATAATGAGATGCCACGTATACTTTCTTAATATGTATATATAGAAAAGTTGCAAATAAAAAAAAATAATGTACTTTTATGAAAGTATTTATTTATTTGTATATATATATTTGATATTTCAGATTGGCCTCAATCTTTCTTCAGAAATAACTGTTTTTTTTTCATTTGCAACTATATTTATATATATATATATATATATATATATATATATATATATATATATATATATATATATATATATTTTCAGAATGTATTTTATGCAGTTAAATACTTGTTAGCATAAACTATCCAAATATTCTCAGGCTAAAAACAGGAATTTGAAAGTCAATCCTACGAAGAATAAATTGTAGCCTATCAGCCACTTGTTAAAGAAGGGACCTAAATTGCTGGAGATGTTGTAGAAACTGGCTTCAGAAATAATATAAAATAAATGAATAAATGCTGTTACTATTATCAATTTTTAGCCGGTGTTACAGTAATTCACTGTAGATTTTAACCTTTTATTAAATTTAATTTTTTTCTAAATAAAATAAAATAAAAAAAAATTAATCGACAGACGACACTTTTCGTAATGGTTTGCTTTTTAAAATAAATGTAGTGTTCAACGTTATTTAAAAATAAAAACAATGTTTTAAATAAATTCAAATTATATTTTACGTACCAACTTCAGTTACATAAATGGCTTCACAATAATATTTTGTTTCAATGGAGTCGAGAATTAAAAAAAAAAAGAAAGTTATTTATTCACATATTTATATAAACTATGTAAAAATACTCAAGCGTTCTATAGAGTTTTTATATCTACATATCAATCTTTTCATGTGTCTACCTTTCTATTTTACCGACTAGATTCTATTTGTGTGTGGTAAATAAATATGTATTAAGCTTTCATTCTTCCATAGTGGGTGTGTCAGGGTATAGAAATAAAATTCTCCGACCAGGTATATCTCAAGGAAGGGCTATATGTGTTTAAGTGTGTGTGTGTGTGTGTGTGTGTGCGTATATATACATATGTATATATATATATACACACGAAAACACACACAAAAACGTGTGTTTACACACGAAAACACACATATATATGTGTGTGGGTGTATATATGTATATTATAATTATATATACACACACATATGTGTGTGTTTTCGTGCGCACACACACACACACACACACATCCATTCCTTGAGATATACCTGGTCGGAGGATTTTTTTATTTGTATATATACACACCCACACACGAAAACTCTCTTTCTCTGTCTCTGTCTCTCGCTCTCTCAATCTCTCTCTCTCACACACACACACACATATATATATATATAGAGAGAGAGCTATTTAGTATTTTGGAGAGGTGGGGGTATTATAAATATTTTATGTACACAAAAATAAAAAAAAAGATACAAAATGTAAAAGAAAAAAAAAAGCTACCATCCAACCAAAGTAATAGACAAGAAATCATTCCCATCATCTTCCCCGCCATCTTACCCATCCATACATCGTTGATTTTTAAGTATGCCATTGTTTGTACGTGTACGAGGAACAGGGGGAGAGAATATTGACAGACTGACTGTGAGAGTGAGTGAGAGAGTGACACAGGCGGACGTAGGGGGAGGAGGAGAAACAGAAAGAGGGCGGGAGCGAGAGTATAAATCGAAATTAGAGTGGAACTTTGAAAGCAAACAAAGAAACAGAGGTGGGAGGTGGGTGAATGGTGGAGGGTTTAGACCGTGGGAATGTGCGAGAAGACCAAGAAAGAAAGGAAGAAAGAATGAAAGAAAGAAAGAAAAAAGAAAAGAACGAACGAATAAAAAAAAGAAAAGAACGAAAGAAAGAAAGAAAAGAACGAACGAAAGATACCTATATAATGTCTATCAGTTTTTTTTCCTAGCCACCTGTAAATTGTTTCAGTCGACCGCTATATCAAATGTAGTCGCCAGTTTTCCGAATCACTTCTACCATTTTTAATGTCTTTCTCTCTTTTTAACAGCGACTCCGAGTTTTACTTAGAAAAGTACGACCCTCCCCCACTTCAAGTATGGCGCAGCATAATCTTCATACACAGCATATGTGGTACTCGTAACCCCCCACCTAAAAAAAAAAATTTTTTTACTTACATGGTAGAAATAAATTTCCAACTGGGACAATATCTTCGTCGCCATTGGAAAAGAAAGGTTATACACACACACAGACACACACACATATGTATGTATGTGTGTATATATATATATATATATATATATATATATATATATATATATATATATATATATAAAAACTTAGTTCCTGTCGACTTACAAAGTACATCTTTCAAAGCAACAGCCGTCCCCAACTCTTACTGTTACATCCCCGGGCAACGCCGGGCTCTACTGCTAGTGTATATATATATATATATATATATATATATATATGAGAAAGAGGCAAAATCACCTTAAGGTGTTCTTGACCCTTTATTTTTATTTACTTGCCCTGCATGTCCTTTTTTTTTAAGGCAGCTACATTTTTTTATATATATATGTCCGTTTTTTTTTGTTTTTTTTTTTTGAGGGGTACAGTATTTTTCCGGGCTCTTAACAGATTTGTTATAGTATGTATATATATATATTTAAACTGCATTTTTTGTCTTCTCCATTTCTTTAGCTCTGTAATTGCTCTGGCCCTATCCATAAGTACAGACGGTGGTCGAAGTAGGCATCTGTGCTGAGGTCAGCATGGTAAGTCTTCTTGTTTAAAACAAGAAAAATCTTTATTACCCACCCCAGGGAGAGAGAGAGAGAAAAAATTAAAGTTTAAAAATCCGAATGTTTAATTGTCGTCCAAGTTCGATTTTGAAAAATAATAAATTCTCATTGATTACTTTTTAAGCGGTCGTAAAAAATTAATAATTCGCAATAAAGAATGAAAACAATTCAAGACACTTGTTGAAAATATTAAAAAAAAAAAAAAGAAAATGTCAGGCCAACTTGTTACTGTGTAGGGCAAGTATAGTTTCATTTGTTATATGCTTTGACAAACGGTGACCTATTTTGTGATGTTATTTTTAAGTAAAAATAAAAATTCTACCATTATTTCGTTTTAAAGTAATAATTGTCCGAAAGACGAGAAAAGCTGATAAAATATTTTTTTTTTTAAATACGATAATTAAGAAATAACCCGGGAGTGGCTCAAGGACTTAGAAAAAGTCGTGTTTAATTCAGTTACTTTTATTTAGTTTAGTTTTCATGGTGGATTAAAGAAATCCAGAAAATTGTGTAAAAAAATAAAAAAAAATTAATACGATTTCATCAACAGCGAGGTGACATACAATTGTCTCAATAACTAATAAACAAAATTTGATTTTTTAAAAAATTAATTCTTATTTTGATAGTAAGAAAAAGACAAAAAAAAAAAAACGTGTCGTTTAAAAACACGTCAAAAGAATTTTAAGAAATGTCACAAAGACGCCATTATTGTGAGTCGGCCTTGGAATGAGATCGAAATGAAAAGTTTTCAAACTAAAACTCGATTTAACTTTCTGGGAAGAGGAATAATTAGATATATTTTTTTTTTTGACTTTAAGTTGAATCTAAAAGTACACGACAGAAGAAAAAAAAATGGAAAAATCGAAGTATATGTAATTCCTCTCACACTAGAAAAGTCGAAGTAATTTTCTACGCCTACTTAAAAATATACAAACACGTCAATACCCCCACTTCCTCCATAGTAATGTGCATAATTGTCAAAATTATTTTTATCTATCTTTTATGAGGCGTATGAATGCCAGGAAAATAAATTGCGTTGTAAAAATAAATCCTTTATATTGATTAAAAGACAAATCGACTTACAAGGTATTTCAGATTTAATAAATTTGGCAGGTGTCTGTTCGGTTGAGAACACAGAGAGGCGCATGGGAAGCTATCTAGCTATCTATCTATCTATCTATCTATCTATCTATCTATCTATCTATCTATCTCAGTTTTGTCATTATCTATCTATCTATCTATCTATCTATCTATCTATCTATCTATTTGAGTAGGTTCACTATCTGAATATGTTCAATATCTATCTATCTATCTATCTATCTATCTATCTATCTATCTATCTATCTATCTATCTATCTATTTGAGTATGTTCACTATCTATCTATCTATCTATCTATCTGTCTATCTATCTGTCTATCTATCTATCTATCTATCTATCTATCTATCTATCTATCTATTTGAGTATGTTCACTATCTGAATATGTTCACTATCTATCTATCTATCTATCTGAGTATTTTCAGTATCTATCTATCTATCTATCTATCTATCTATCTATCTATCTATCTGAGTATTTTCAGTATCTATCTATCTATCTATCTATCTATCTATCTATTTGAGTATGTTCACTATCTGAATATGTTCACTATCTATCTATCTATCTATCTATCTGAGTATTTTCAGTATCTATCTATCTATCTATCTATCTATCTATCTATCTATCTATCTATCTATCTATCTATCTATCTGAGTATTTTCAGTATCTATCTATCTATCTATCTATCTATCTATCTATCTATCTATCTATCTATCTATCTGTGTATGTGCGTGCGTGCTCCGATAATGTCACATGCATGCTCGTTTGTTTCACCGTGATACCGTTGTCAGAAAAAGTAGTCAGCACCTATAAAATTACTCCAGCAAGTGATGTCGATCCGCACTGGGCGCCCCAAACTTGTGGCCGCGTGCCAGGATGAAACAAACTGAATATCTAAACACATGCACATACACATACCCCACCCCGTGTTTTCGTTTACACAAATAGCTTACGGCCATATCACGTTGAAACATCGGTTCTCGTCCGGTCACCGAAGTTAAGCAACATCGAGCCTGGTCAATAACTAGATAGGTGACCGCTTGGGAATATCAGGTCCTGGAAGCTTGGATGTTCGGATGGCATAATGAGCTAACGAGGACATCACATTGAAACATCGGCTCTTGTCCGATCACCGAAGTTAAGAAACGTCGAGCCTGGCCAGTACCTAGACGGGTGACCAAATTGAATGTGCAGCTGGTGTAATGGATAACGGCTCGGAATGAGAAGTCGGAGAGCCGTGTTCGAATTCCGGTCGGGTTCGTTACATTTATTTACTTGTAAATACCCTTGGGGAATGTTTGAATCTTCCCTTTCAACTATGGGTTTAATAAAAGGATCTATCTATCTATCTATCTATCTATCTATCTATCTATCTATCTATCTATTTGAGTATGTTCACATCTATCTATCTATCTATCTATCTATCTATCTATCTATCTATCTATTTGAGTATGTTCACATCTATCTATCTATCTATCTATCTATCTATCTATCTATCTATTTGAGTATGTTCACATCTATCTATCTATCTATCTATCTATCTATCTATTTGAGTATGTTCACATCTATCTATCTATCTATCTATCTATCTATCTATCTATCTATCTATCTATCTGTATGTCTGTCTGTGTTACTCTGGTTTCTATCTATCTATCTATCTATCTATCTATCTATCTATTTGAGTCTGTTCACATCTATCTATCTATCTATCTATCTATCTATCTATCTGAATATGTTCACTATCTATCTATCTATCTATCTTAGTCTGTTCACATCTATCTTAGTCTGTTCCAATCTCTCTCTCTCTCTCTCTCTCTCTCTATATATATATATATATATATATATATATATATATATATATATATATATATAGTTAGGCTTTAAAATAACCTACAGAGGATTGAGGAACCGTAAAAAAAAAATAAATCAATCGTCCATACAAATCTGAGTGAGAACATATGGAGGCGTGAAGTCGCAGGCATAAAAGCTCTCTCTCTCTCTCTATGTGTCTGTCTTTCACCCCCTCTCTCTCTCTCACACGCACACACACATGCACTCGGTCACACATATACACGCATGAAAAAAAGAAGGCGAATGTCACAATCCATCATCAGCTTTCCAATAAAGTTTACTTAACACTTCGCTTATCATTCAAAATGGCGAAATATCTTTAAAATTCAGAATCAGGTTATTTAGAAATACCAAAAATATATATATATATATATATATATATATATATATATATATATATATATATATATATATATATATATATATATATATATATATATATATATATATACTTTATTTTGCCCCCAACCTCGAGATTGTTCTCCACTACCATCCTGCAGTGGTTTCAGTTTTACTTACTAATCTACTGCCATTTTCCTCGACAGTTCTTTCTCGCTTTTTTTTCTCGAATCTGAATCAATTCCGTTGCTTTCCGTTCCACGTTCAAACCAGGAGTCAAATTCGCTTTTAATACCTGTGCCGTAAAAAATGGCAGCAATTGGTAGAAAGGTTTAATAGCGAGATGCAATGAACCTAATGTCTTGAAACAATATATTAAGACTCAATGAAGCGAAGGTAAATAATTCACAACTAAAATCGAGGCCAATGAACCGTTTAATTAATCCGTTCCTTTTAAATGTTTTAGACATTCAATAGTAACTACGATTCATTCATTACTGCCGGTGTTATATAAATTGAATAATAATATCTTTATAATATCTCATTATCTTTTCATGTTAAAAGTCATATGTTTAATTATGAAATGAAAATATCTCTCGGAAGAAAAAGTTTAACAACAGAACGACAAAAACGGCGACAACAAAGCATATTTCAAGATCAAGTTGACACAAGATGCTCACTTAATAGATAAAAGTATCTGAGTGCACCACATGAAAAGCTTGAACAAATATGACTGCAATCTAATAAACGTAGGCTTATGATCACATCACGTTGAAACACCGCTTTCCGTACGATCACTGAAGTTAAGCAACGTCGAGCTTGGTCAGTACCTAGATGGTTGACCACTTGGAAATATCAGGTGTTGTAGGTTTGGAGTTTCGGGTGGTGTAATGGACAATGGCTCGGAATTTTTAATAGGAGAAACGAGTTCCAATTCCCGTAAATACTCTTGGGAAAGGTATGAATCCACCTCTTCTCTCCCCAGCTATGTGTTAATTAGTAAGACTTATATCACTAAAACATTATTATCTCCAAAAAAATAATTCTTACCATCTAAGAAAATTTTCTTTAAATAATCCGCAAAAGGTGGATAATCCGTTAGAACGGATTAATCAATCAGATTAAAGGAACTGATTAATTAAACGGTTCCTTTTGCTCAGGAACTAATTTTGTTTAAAAGCAGATATTTTATTTGTATAGATTATTAAAACGACCAAGTTGGTTGATTTATCTGGCTTAGCGGCATATCAAAACCTCTATGGGTTATTTAGTGCCGAATTCTAAATATTTTGGACACATTTTTTTATGGCAACAATTGTTAGAAAGTTTTAATCTTGGGTTGGAATGAAACAAAGTCTTAAAATTCAATCTAGAAATGATAAAGAATTCACAACTAAAATAGAAGCATCTGTGTATATTTCTGAGATGAGGTATTATGTACGCTATTTACATTATTCGGACTATTGTCCTCATCTTTGTCGCCATATTTATCACAACGTTTCTGCTTAGAAGAGATTTGTAAAGAAAGAAAGAAAGAAAGATATCAGGTGTAGCGAAGAGGACGTTGAAGTAAAAGAAAGAAAGAAAGGTGGTTGGAATGTGGAACTGAACCCTTTATTTCTCTCGCTGGGTTAGACTGTTCTAGTTTCACGTCTAATGTATGTCAGTTATCCTTTATCTCCTGTTAATTCCCCTCTCCAACTTCTCCACCGCCTTAACCAAGTATTGAACTCAAACTCTTTGGGTCCTGTCACTAACTAACGCCTTTATCTACTATGCCATATCTCCTTGAGGACCTCTGTATATGAATTTCTGTATATTTAGGCGATTAATGCTAACTTTGATTCTTTGATTATACCTGGTATTATATAAATCGCTTTTTGCTCAATATCTTATGCGTTTAATATAACAGTTAAATGGAAAAATCTCTCGGAAGAAAAAAGATTAGTAACAGAACGACAATGACGGCGACGACAAAGCCTATTTCAAGACCAAGTTGAAACAAGACGATCATTTAATAGAAAAAGGTATCTGAGTGCCTCACATAAAAGGTTTGAACAAATAAGATTGCAATCTAAGAAACGTAGGAGTAAAGGAAGTGATTAATTAAACGGTTCATTTTGCCCGATAACTAATTTTATCTAAATGCAGATAAATATTTTATTTATACAGATTATTAAAACGATTAAGGGAACTGATTATTCATAAATTTATTAACCTATGTTAATTTATCAGATGGGAAATAAATAAACAATATGCATTGATAATTACTATATGATTTGTAAAGAAAGAAAGCAAGAAAGAAAGAAAGAAGGGAAGAAAGAAAAAAAGAAATCAGAAGGAGCAGCGAAGAGGACGTTGAACTAAAAGAAAGAAAGAAAGATAACGGAAAGGGCAACGAAGAGGATGTTGAACTAAAAAAAGAAAGAAAGAAAGAATCTGAAAGGGCAGCGAAGAGGATGAAAAAGTAAAGAAAGACAGACAGCAAGAAAGGAAAAGAAAGAAAGAAAGAAAGAATGAAAGTAAGAAAGATGTCAGAAAGAGTAGCGAAGAGGATGTTGAAGTAAAGAAAGAAAGAAAGAAAGAAAGAAAGATATCAGAAGGAGCAGCGAAGAGGAAGTTGAACTAAAAGAATGAAAGAAAGGAGAAAGAAAAGAAAGAAAGAAAAATATCAGAAAAGGCTGCGAAGAGGGTATTGAAGAAAGAAAGATAGAAAGAATGAAAGAAAGAAAGATATCGGAAAAGACAGGGAAGATTTCGAAGTAAAGAAAGAAAGAATGAACGAAAGAAAGAAAGAAAGAAAGAAAGAAAGAAAGGTATCTGAAAGTGCAGTGAATAGAAAGAAAGAACGTAAGAAAGAAATACATCGGGAAGAGCAGCAAAGATGTTGAAAGAAAGAAAGAAAGGAAAGAAAAATATCAGAAAAGGCTGCGAAGATTTTGAAGTAAAGAAAGAAAGAAAGAATGAACGAAAGAATGAAAGAAAGGTAGATAGAAAGAAAGGTATCTGAAAGGGCAGCAAAGAAGAGAAAGAAAGAAAGAAATTGGTAAGGGCAGTGAAGAGGATGTTGAAGAACGAAAGAATGAACGAAAAAAAGAAAGAAAGGTATCTGAAAGAGCTGCGAAAAAGAGAACGAAAGAAAGAAAGATAACGGAAAGTGCAGCGAAGAGGAGAAAACCTTTTACAAAACCAACTTGAAGCAAGATGACCACTTAATAAAGAAAAGGTTTCTTAGTGCTCCACATGAAAAGCTTGAACAAGAAATACTATCTGGCACAAATCAGTCATCAGAGGAAGAGGAACGATAGAGAAAGATATAGGTGACTGAATTAAGTAAAGAGAGACGGAGACACATGTAATAATGGTGTGGAGATTCAAGTGAGTGTTCCCTAGCCAGCGAGAAATGTTAACGGACATAAACTTCCAGGCCATGCATATGGACATTAGAGTTTTATTTTTATTTTTTTTTAAGCGTTTCACCCTAAGTAAGGCAGGAAGCCACTAGGACGCAAGGGGTTAGAGAAAATTTGGAGCAAGATCAGATAGGAGTGATAGAAGAAAGGATGAGGAGAAGGGTAGTGGATAGATCAAGGCAACTGGAGATACAGAGGCCAGTGTGTGTGTGTGTGTGTGTGTGTGTGTGTGTGTGTGTGTGTGTGTGTGAGAGAGAGAGAGAGAGTACCGGGAACCCCTTCCTAAACAAGAAACAAGGGGTAAGCCTCTACTCATGTCCAAGAGCAGAGGGAGGAGTGTTGACCGGGCGGTAGGAATCCTTCCTAAGAAAAGTCTGGTTAGCAAAGCCCGAATTGCCGTTTATAAACTTGGCTGAATAGTAACAGGATGACAGACTCTATGTCAGTTCACATAATATGGGTTACAAGTTCGATTCCTGTCGGAGAACGCATATTTTCTACGGAAATTTACGAACATTCATGCCGGTAAATGCTAACGTAAAGCAAGACGACCACTTAATAGAGAAAAGGTATCTTAGTGCTTCACATGAAAAGCTTGAACAAATAAGACTGCAATCTAAGAAATGTAGAAGTAAAAGGACTGATTAATTAAACGGTTCATTTTGCTCGGGAAGTAATTTTGTTTAAATGCAGATATTTTTTTTTATTTGTATAAATTATTAAAGCGACTAATTTGGTTGGTTGATCTTGTTTAGCGGCATATCAAAACCTCTATGGGTTATTTAATGCCGAAATCTAAATATTTTGAACAATTTTATGGCTTCAACTAAATATATTTTGGACGCAATTGTATGCCTTCAACTACAGATAAAATGAATTCTTACTCATTTTGCTATAAATATAGTTTGTTAATTTTTATATAAACATGCATTTTTATACTTTCATAGAATTTTGTTTTCGTTTGCGGGGCGGAGGGGGTTGATTATTTACCCATAGCTGGGACCCTAAAAGGTGCTACCTCGCCGGGTCAGGGTGGTCTTAAGAACAACGGAAATTAAAAGTTGGTTCCACGCTCCTCAAAACCTTCAATCTCCAGATTAGGGGCCTTGCTGCCGGATGTAGTTTATCGTCATACCCAGGACTAAAACGACCACGGAATCACTCATAAATTTACTAAATTAAGTAGATTTGCCTCCCTTCCCACTACAGATGGGACAGGAAATATATAAATAAATACACATTGAGAATTATTATATGGTTTGATGACTGTGTGAAAAATAGATAAAAGAAAGAAAACGAATTGAAAAAAATGTAGATTTTGGAACTTTTATTACTTAACAATAAATTCAGTACACACAAATAACAGAATTTTGTTTTCTTTTATTACAAGTTACTTGAAAAAAATGTTGCTATGATCATCGGCAATTCTTTGGAGCAGCCAAGATTGAGGATCGAACACGGACTGCGAGCGCACCAGTTGGGGTATAGGAGTATGCTATTTGTCGTGTTGCAGTTGATATCAAATTAATTACTTTTCGAAAGCGCGTATTAATCCAAACGTTATTTTTAGTGGATACTTGTATTTGAAAAACACGCCACGTATTTTTTTTTTATTATTTATTTTAAACAGTGTGCATTAAATCTATCGATCTGCGGTCTGGAGAAATCTTTACACAGAAAATGTGCTCCCCGCCAGAGTTCCTGTTTGCGTCCCCCTTTGCAGGAGAAACCGGCGCTTGATCCGACACTCTTTACTGGTCGAGAGTGTCACGGTCTATTAACATTATATCCTGGGTTGTTCGCTCTCTACGACCGAGCGGTCTAAGGCACGTCGGATCAAACGGCGGTTTCTCCTACATAGGGGGTCGTAGGTACGAACCCCGTCGGAGAACACATATTCTCTATTAAGATTTTTCGTGTGTGCAGGTTGATAGATGTAAGACACTCTGTTTAAAACAAAAGCGGGATGTCTATTTCAGATACGGGTATCCACTAAAAATAACGTTTGAAAGGGATTAAAAATAAATGAATTAATTCTTTATATATATATATATATATATATATATATATATATATATACTAGCTAAAAAACCGCCCTATCAGGCGGCAATTAAGCTATCTCCTGGGAAAGGTAGACCTTTCCTTTTCATGTGGTCCTTCGTCTTGTTCATGAGTTTGAGAGTCCCTAAATCTTTGCATATTTTCAGGATTGGAAGCTCTCTGTAACCCTTTTGCCTTTCCTATCTTTTCTTTACCCTTATGCGCTCCCCCCTCTTAAAATCTTTCTTCTTTTTTTTCAAACAAATAGAAGAAAAGGAAGTGACTATCCACGAGAGGCCTGCTTACAAACAGAATTCTTCATAACCATTTTTGGTTCTCACCAGTCGAGGTGCAACTAAATGCACCGAAACAAAGTTACATCTTTGTAGTGAGAAAATTGTTTTTTGCCCCTCTCTCTCTCTGTATATATATATATATATATATATATAATATACACACGTGTGTGTGTGTATTATTTTGAATTAGGAGCTCAGGCAGAAAGGTTAAAATTGTTCTGGAACGCAGGGTTTAAAGCATGTTTTTCTATTTTACCGGATCCGGCAAAATAACTTCTTCCATTACAAAATTATATCATTGTTGTTTAAACAAAAGGCTACAGTTTTTATTTATTTGGTTTTTAAAATGACACCCCCTAAATGGTGGACTTTTTTTTGCCATATACTGTTGCAGACGATTTCTAATGTTTTCCATCACCTGGAAGTTCGAGGTTAACCCAGCTGGGCTTCTTTTAAGCGCCAAACCTTTGAGTCATTCACTTAGGAAGAGAACAGGTTAAAATCGTTTTCTGTCAGCCCTACCATGTCTTCCCAACTGAGCAATGGTGAGAGGAAAAAGATCATTCAGGTGTTCAGTAATGGTAGCAACATTCAAACTCTGGCTTCCATCTTCAAATTTCATTCAATAACCATCAAGGAAACGGTGAATAAGTTTAAAAAAGAGGGAACAGTAGAGAGGAAAACTGGACACAGGAGGTCACAACATCATTTCAACTTAGAGCTTAAGGGATTAATTAGAAATAAATACAACTCAATCCATAAGACGTTTGACCCGCGAGAGAGGAGTTTCAGCTATGACAGTCCAAGGAGCAGTGAAAAAAGACTTGAAAATGAAATCATACTTATTATAAAACCAAGGTTGTGCGTGTGTCTGTTTGTTTATATATTGGATCGGACTTCCTACATTTTTCGACCGATTTCAACAAAACTTCACAGGACTACGTAAAATTACCTTGCGGTGGTTCTAACAGCGCCTCATATCGGAAAACCACAATTGTTTTTGCACGAAATCAATTTGAAAACACGATTAAGAGGCATCGCTGTCGCGAGAATGAAAGTGGGACAACTCATATCGATTTATACTTATAAAACCCAGGTTGTTTGTTTGTGTGTGTGTGTGTGTGTGTGTGTGTGTGTGTGTGTGTGTGTGTGTGTGTGTGTGTTCGTTTATATATGGGATCGGATTTCCTACATTTTTCAACCGATTTCAACAAAACTTCACTTTTTTTTTGGCAGGTAGTGTTTCTTATTGTCTTGCACACTTTTTTCTTTATTTTTACATTCAGAATGCTTTAAAAATTCCATTTACAAGACAATTGTTTATAATAAAATTCTGTTCAATCGGTAGACTCATAATAATTGAAAACAATGTTTTTGTTTGAGTTTGGGTTTGACCAATTCGTAAAAAAAAAAAAAAAACTAATTAAGACATGCGTGTCTGTCAACCTTAAACAATAATCTTTGTCAATTTTATTTTTCAGTCTATGATGGTCGATACTTGATATGTCTCTTACTGTTACATCCCCGGGCAACGCCGGGCTCTACTGCTAGTCGTACATGAAACATATGAAACACCTGGCTGTTGGTAACTCAGGTTCCAATTTGTTTCGCATTTGGAAGGCACCTTCATCTTTGGAGCTGGATTTCACGTTCCATTATTACCATTACTAATGAAATTAGGAACTGACAAATTTAAATTAAACTGGAGATTTATCGTGAGACATCTCCACTGTTTAAACAGCGATGCCAACAAACGTTTCCCAGTTTATTGCATGGAGTATTGGCGCCTTGCTTTGGAGCAGTTATTGGCAATGTAGAATGGCAAACAGTTATTCGTGACTGTGATCTCACTGGGTACGTCATGCTCGTGACGTTTGAGCCAAAGAAAGTTTAAAAAATGATTTAATCAATCTTCAATGTCGTTCACAAGTAATAAAGTCCACAGTATGTTGTCTTTCATGTAAATAATTCCCTAATTAATTTTAAAACATTAATAATTAAATAGCTACTAAAACTAAATTAAATAATTTCTGCGCGCAATCAATTCTGTTAATTCCAGATTGTTACGTTACGTGTCGTCTGCATTCTCTCTTTCTCTCTCTCTATATATATATATCTATATATATATGAATAAAGACAAAAGGAAAACTTTTCTTAACTGACATGTTTCGTTCTCTAGTGGGCTTTATTAAGGCAATTGTAAGGATTTTATTTTGTAATATTTCAGAATTTTTATATCAAAGAACACTCATGAATATACTTCAGGCAAACTTGAAGTCAATATAAATTATGGAGGACGCTAAGTGATGTAATTTAACGTCTAATAAACGAAAGTGAGTAGATGTTGTTATTATTGTTGTTGATTTTTGTTAATGTACTTATTTTATTTTAGTTTGAGAAATTAATTTGTGTATTTTAAATAATAGAGGGCTTTGAATTTAACCGTTTTGTTATAATTTTTCTAATAGTCATCTATATTGGCTTGCGAAAGGAGTACACTAGAATCCCTCATATCCGGAATCCCTAATATCCGGAATCCCTCATATCCGGAGTACCTCATATCCGGAATCCCGCATATCCGGACATGAGTTCTGTGTGTATATTTGAACTATTTAGGTGATATGTAAAGGATTTGAATTTCCTTTTTTCCGGGAAATTTACTTTGGATAATTGCTTATTGCTAATGGCTTGTATTTGGGCAAAAGATGATAGGAATAAGAGGAAAATAACAACTTTGGAATTATCGCAGAAAGTGGAAATTTTAAACAGACTTGATGCTAGTGAAAGTTAATTGTAACTAATGTCTGAGTTCAACATAGGAAAGTCAACATTGTATGATATAAAATCTTCAAAAGAAACTATTCTCCAGCGATCACACTGTCACAATGAACAAGGAAATAAATAAAAACATGATTGTGATGAAACCTGAACTGAAATTGAAAAAGCTATTGAAAAGGTTGTCAGTTTTATGGAAAAAAAGCCAGCATTCAACTATAACGATTGCAATAATCGCGTGTAGAGTTAAGAAAAAAGTGTCTGTCGTTTAAAAAACTTCAAGAACAAAAGCAAAATGAAATGCAGAAAAAGTTCAGAATGACATTAGAAGAGAAAGGATCATCATGCAATAGCGATTAAAAATATCCTCGTTATATTAGTTGTTTTGCATACGTGACATATTTAATTTAATCAATTTTCATTAACATTATATAATTTTTTTTAAATCAATTCCGTTATATTTCACTCACCATTAGCTTATTTTGTTTACTATAAAACATTGAAAATAAATGTTAAACCTGATTTCAGTTCTTTCATTTTAATCTAAAATAACCCCTCATATCTGGACTTTGTAACTAATTCCTCATATCCGGAAGGATTTCTTAGTCCGGTTGTCAGGGATTCTACTGTATATCTCTTATTAGGAGAGAAGATACTTGAAAAAATTCTGGGTGTAAATTTATGTTTTGGCAAGATTTGATAACGGCACTCTCAAGAATTGTCCGTTGAAGTAATTTACTTTCTGTTTTTATATTTCAAGTGTGATATTCTTTACATTGAATTTGTTCTTAAGGATGTTTCTGTGTATACATTTGATAAATTGTTATGTATAAAATATTTTTGTGTTCATAGATACCATTTTTTAAAACATTTTGCAAGTTTCTTGACAGACATGAAGATTAATAGCTTTTATTGCCACCGGATGCACACTGGGAAGTGTTTTAAAAGAGGACAGAAAGTGCAACACTGAAATCTGAAGGCGCATTGGAATAGCGAAAAATGCCTTTCAAAATCTAAGCAGAGTATTAAGAAACACACAAAATTTCAAACGAATAATAAAAAATAGAGTACTGAATTGTTATATAATATTAGTCTTCCTATATTACACTGAATGCTGGACAATCGCCTCACAGATGAAGAACAGACTGGACGCAACAAAAATGTTCTACAGAAGGATACTGAGGATACCATAAATTGAACATGTGAGCGACGACGAAGTTTTAGAGAAAACTGAAACAAAATGGACACTTATACACCCTTGTGAAAATTAATTGAAACAATCACTTTAGTATCCTTTCTTTCTCCATACGGTTACTTTTAGACACACTGGAGTGACAGGGTATAATCGATTTCTATTTTTTCCTCAGATTAGGTCATTTACAGCGGTGTGCAGTAATATGAATGTATTTTGGGGGTGTATGATGAAATTTGTTTGGCCTTGAAAAATATTGCGTCATCCGTGATTGCATCAGATTTGCATCACGCCCAGGCAGTATTGTTTCGACTGTCGATTAGTTGTCCTACGGCCATCGTCTCCGATGGACGTTGCTCCAGGGAAGCGTACGAAAATTGTAACGCCGCACTTACAAATTTGCAAGCCTTACTAGTGAGCAAATCAAAGTACTATAAACTGGATCGGAAACTCCTGCTTTAAATCCAATCGAGAATCTGTGGTGAATCTGCAAGGAACTACTTCGTGGGTCTTAGGTTATATAAGCAGCCACTACTAAAATAAATTTATTACTAAAACAATAATTCGATGTAAATAAAGTCTATTGGATAAAAAAAAAATAGAAAAAATTATACTCATGACCCGCCTACGAGACACACTGAACGAAGAAAGTTCTCCTTCTGCCTGCGCAATGTCGGCCGATGAAGCTTGATATGAACAGTTTCTAAAAAAAACGTAAATGTTTAGCCGACCCTGAATTCGTCTGAATATTTCAAAGTGCAACCCGGGTTGTTCATCAAACGTAGTCCGATCAACGACTCACAAACCGAGCGAGTCAAGAGAATACGGTCGCTGACTCCACCTTCCCTTATATGAGTAGGTACGTGCTGTCCAATTCTGGTCTCGAACCAAAAGTTGGTTCACCCCACATCGTCAGCTTCGCACTGACATGTAAATTGGTAAATAACAGAACTGCTTTGCAGTTAGAGCAAACCCTCCTTAGCGAAAGATGGAAATACAGGAAAAGAATTGATGTAATGGAATAACCTGTCACCCCCATGAGTGACTACACTATAGGTAGTAACTACCTATAAGTACCTGTAAGTCAACAGACTACAGAGACCAGCTGGGATCTATTCCAGCTGTTCTGTCGAACTCTCTGCCTTCGGGCAGGGAGGAACTCGGACAAGGCCATGCCGAAGGGCAGAGTCTTGTAGAGGTAGACCCGATCACATTTATACAGGTTTTACGGGGAATTTTTGGTCGAGCCTAGGGGCTCGGATTAGCCCACATTAAACTCGGCCTTGTGACATATTCTACCCCGTGGGAGGTTGGTAAATATTATTAGCTGGGATCTTTTACTCGGCTCTGAGCTGTTGTCGAACTCTCTGCTTTCTGGCAGAAAGGAGCTCGAACAAGGCTATGCCGAAGGGCGGAGTCTCGTCCGGGGAGGTGGACAGACCCGAATCCGTATATTCAGGGTTACGGGGAATTTTTGGCTCGGATTGCCCCACATTAAGTCCGGCCTTGTGCCACGTCATACCTCGTGGGGAGGCTGGTAAAT